CGATTTGGCACCTGTATATTTGAAAGAGAAGTTCATTGTTAAGACTACTAACTATGTCCTTAGAAGTACCAATTTAGTTTTGCCTAAACCGAAAACATAGAATTGTAAGCGTGTGTTTCTGTATAGCGGAAGTAAATTGTATAATGGATTGTCTATGCACATTCGACAATCAAGAAGTTTGGCTATATTTAATAAAGAAATACAAAGTTTAGTTTGAAATGTTATGACAGAGATAATATACACTGGAGGACTTGGAAAGGGGTAGCGGGAGGGGTTGGCAGTATCGAGAGGGTGTCGGGGGGGGGGGGGGGTGGTGAGGTTAGGGAGAACGATAAGGGGGGGTGGGGGGTAGTGTATTGGTAAATTACTTTGATTTTTATAAAAAAATTGATATTGTATGTAAATTAATATGATTTTTGCTTTTGGACCCCATGGAAGAACAGGACCATTTTGAAAATGGTTCTGAAATGGGCTATCCAACCGTTTGTCTATACTTTACACATTTACTTACTTTCTTATCGTTTGAAATGTGTTTTATATGTATGTTTTTTTAAACTTGTATGTATATATGGATTTCGGAAATAAAAACAAACAAACAAACATGGTCACCTTCTTAGGTTTTTTTTTTTTCTTAAATTAAAAACAAACAAACAAACATCAAAAATTACAAGGGGGGTTGCTCCAAACTACACACATAAAAAAAACGGCAGGGGGGGTTCAACCCCCCCCCCCCTCCCTGCGTACGCGCTTGGGTGATGATAATGATGATGGTGGTGATGATAATGATGTTGATGATGATGGTGATGATGATGGTGATGATAATGACGGTGATGACGATGGTGATGATGATAACACTGTTGATGATGATGGTGTTGGTGATGGTGATGATGATGGCGATGACGGTGACGGCGATGATGATGATGAAGATGATGATGATCATATTCATGATAGGAAATGATACTGCATGATGGTGGTGATGATGATGATACGATTTGCAATACGTCATGTACCCAGGATTAATTGTTTTTCTACATTAAACATGTATACCAAAACTCTCAATTCGTTGCTGAAATTTTATTTTAAAAAGAAGAAACATTAGTCATACATATTTTAAAATAAAGTTAAATACAAAGAATAAATAATTAGATCAGCTTACCCTTTTTTTGCATCTGGCTCGAGTTTTGGTCGGTTAATTGGTACTGGATGGTTATTTGGTACTGGATGATTAACATGGAAAAATTGAACTTGTTTACAATATGATGAGTTTAATAAAAGTATGCATAATTTTAAATGATTACTTTCAGTTTTCTTGGACCTTCGGGTATACTAATCTGTGTGGTTTCCATAAGGTAGGCGATGGACGTGAACGCTACGTCGTTATAGTACTGTTTTGAGAGTGAATGCTTTATTTTAAACCTGGTTTCCACTTTAAAAAAGTGATTCGTAATATGAAAACAAGATAAGACAAGGAAGATGATATTTTGTTGATTTGTTCATAACGGAGGAATTGTCTTTTGGTTGCCACAATGGAACAATAAACAATACGACTTTGTATAATTACCTCAACGTGAACTTAATTGGGAAGATGAACAAAATAATGTTGGACGTTATCTTTATCATTTCCTTACGACAAGAAACTAGATTTGATATTTTCAGGATTGACTGCTACACTACATCCAAGATGGCTACCAAAACTCTCAATTCGTTGCTGAAATATTATCAAGAGAAAAGAAGAAACATTAGTCATACTTTTTTTTTAAATAAATTTAAAAATAAAGAAGAAATAAGTAGAGAATACAATCATGACAATAAACAGTATGTCATACAGGGGCGTACGCAGGGGGTGTTTTGGGGGTTAAACCCCCCCCCCCCCTTTGGTATTTTTATGTGTGTAAACCCACCTAAAAAAAAAAACTAAAACCCCCTCCTTTTTTACTTCTTTTAATTATTAAAAAAATATATATATATATATATTATGCCCACGGCTAACCTAAAAAAGGTGACCTTACCCCTCCCCACCCCCCCCCCCCCCCAACGAAGAAAAATGTTAAATTTTCAAATTTCGAGACCAAAAAAAATGATAAGAAATTTGGCTCAGTCTTCGTAAAGTTACAAGCACTGTACACAGAAAGATGTATATGGGACTACGCACATGCACGTGCGCGACACGTGCATTCATCTCTTACACACCAATAGATAAACTAATTTAAAAAATATATCAATTAGTAGGCGGTTTCCCGGCAAAAATGTTATCATCATGTATTAGTCAAAACATACTCTTTCACATGATTGGTAATAAGAGCTTCCATTTCATTTTTTGAAATTATAGGGCGTTTCCAATACTGATCTTTATCTTTAAGCATGGACCTAATAAGCTTACCCCTATTTACAACTGGGTCGAGTTTTCTTTGGTTAATTGGTACTGGATGATAAACATGGAAAATAAACTTGTTTACATAATCACATTATGTCTTATTCATTCTAGTTATAATGTTTTCTGACTGTTTTCAAGACAATATCATATGTTTCGATCATACTTCTATGTACCTTGATGTATCATGGCAATTTTTAGGGAAAAGCAATCAAAGCAACGATGGCTGAATTTTAGAAAACTTAAAGAAAAATAATTTTGAACCCGGGCCATTTGTTGTCTTCTTCTTATTTCTTCATTACCTGTGACCTTTTCTTTTTCTTTTTAAATATATATTCTCTCTTTCTCTCTCTCTCCCCTTTCTCGTTCTCTTTCTCTCTCTCTCACACCCTCAGTCCATTTAACTTTCAAACTCATTAATGATCTAAGACATTATTTTTCTCCCCATTCCAAATTTATCAAACGTATTATATTTGGCCTATGTTGCAAAAATCGTTCATATTTCTCTCACTGCACGATTACAGACTGCTTCATCTTACATATTACTGACTATGATTAGAATAACAGCTACCAAACAGATGATTTTTTTTTTTAAAGACAAGTAATTCATGTATATTTGTTCAAACACTTATAACACACAAAACATATGTTCAATGACTTCGAAAGGGAAAGTATTTTCTTCAAATATCTTAATATAATTGTTTTTCGAGTTACAAATCAAGGTGACACGTACTTGAAGAAAAAAAATCTTACAAGAAAATTTAAAACGTAATGACTTCTGATAAAAACAGAAAGGGGCTTTCAAAGAATAACACGAACCTTACATTGAAATACCCAAGCTACAAATACATTTGCATATTATAACATCTTCCAATACATTTGGAGAAAAATGCAAATAAATGAGCAAATAAAGAGAAGAAAAAATCTGACTGTTGTTTGCTTGGCAGCGGTATTATGATTTAAACTAACGTTTTTTAGATAATTAAAAAAGATTCAGGTGTAGAACTACACATTTTGTGCTCGAATCAGTTCAATGAAGTGTCTCTTGAAATGCATTTACACTACCACTCTCAAATTAAGGGGGAAAAGCAAAAAACAAGTTTGGCCCAAATTCACAAAGGAGGTTTGTCGACAAACCTAGGTTAAAGTGCGTGTTATGACGCGTTTCGATGCGTTTCAGACCAAGGTTCAGAAAAACCTTGGTCTGAAACGCGTCAAAACGCGTCATAATTATGACGCACACAAACCTAGGATTGTCGACAAAACTTCTTTGTGAATTCGGGCATGCCTGTTTGACCTTTATTCCAAGGCAAGACAAGTGCATTTTCAGATATTCTAATGTCGATTAGTGTTTAAATGTATACTTTGAGGTAGTTTAAGGCATTAATGGAATGTAATATGAACGAGGATTCATTTCATTTTTTATTCCAAAGTACACAGAATGAATGAAATTTCAAAAATACATTTCTAATATTTACATGTAGGGCAAGGGAAGACGATATGTAGAGATAGCATCCACTGTACGTGGCACTGACAAAAAGGGGCAGCGTTTCATGAAACCATCAACTAACAAGTTCGCCGAAAAAAAACATTAAAACGAATGAATAATCCGCTTTTCAGTGGGGTATCGGTGAGAATAACGGTTTCGTGGAAACGATGCAAGGTTTTTCCATTTTAATGAGGCACATCATGTGAATATAAATTGTTTCGATAGGACTATTACCCCCAATGACAGTGATTCCCTCTGGAAAATTACCCCTGAGGACAATTACCCCCCCCCCCCCCCCCCCCCCGAAAAAATCTTCTCTCGTTTAAAACAACTTACTATCAGGTTGGACTTTCCCTTTGAATAGAGGGGGGAATTGTCCGGGGGGGGGTTCCAATAGGAGGAGGTATCCTCGGGGGTGAATGTCCTTAGTGGGGGGGGGGGTAATTTTCCGGGGCTTATTGTCCTGGGGGGGGTATTTCTCCGGGGACAATTTTTCGGGGTAGATTGTCCAGGGGGTAAATGTCCTGATACGATATAAATTATTTACACGTGTCAAATGCCATCCCATCGCTCCGACCCGTCCGGGGAGCCATTTTTTCTTCTTTCCCAAACAGGTTTGCCAATGCTAATATATCCAGTCATCTGATTGGCTGATTTGTTGTTTCTTTCTCCAAGCGAACCAATCACATCATGATGGTAAGAAACAGAGCCATCTACACACAGAGTTTGGCCAACTTGGTTTTCACTTGATCACTTTGTTGGTATACCACTCTTTTTTTTTTTGCTTGACAAACAAAGCAGTATTCGCAATTCATGTGCCAAACTCGAACCGGACTGGCCAAACTCTCCTTATCTACTGGCTCTCTTATAATACGAAATCTGGAATCACGCCATCTGTGACTAGCACCAGGTAAGGGGGAGGGGGGGGGGGGGCTGCGAAATCAAAATTGGAGAGATTACTCCTCAAATAAAATCGGTCAGATTCTAGACTAATATACCACCACTGGCAAAAATTCAAGTGTCTTTATTTGTTATACATTGTATACATATACAAGTGTATATTATTTTCAGTCGGGATAAATTGGTGATATCAAACAGATTTCATCAAGAAAACACTCGCTCACTTTAAAAATTTTTAAGAAACATAGATGACATTAATTTAATTGACGTAAAGTTCGTATCTTTCCACTGTACACTTCAATGTGACAAGGCCATAGAGCTTAAATCATCAATGTCTGACAATTAAGTCGATTCAGTTTATATTTTGAATTTTTATTTGTCCTTGGTATCATCACTCCGTGACGTTTTTTTAAGATCCTCGTCGTCCAAATCGTCATCAACTTCATCTTCCTCGTCAAATTCGAGTTTGCCATCGTCTTCGTCGTCAGCGTCAGCGTCGAACGGATGTACAGAATCTCGAGTGAGTTTCTTCTGTTTCATCCTCCTGTTCTGAAACCACGTCTTCACCTGACATGAAGACAATAGAGAGAGAGATAGAAAAAGAGAAAGGTGGGCAGAGAGAGATCGAGAGAGAGTGAAAGAGGGGGAGGAGAGAGAGAGAAGAGAGGAGACATAATTCTTGTTATTAAACGGTTTGTCTATTTTACCGCCTTCCTCACGTCAAACCATCTGTTGTACAAAATAAAATGATAATAAATAAATATGTAAAGAGAACCGGAGAGAGGGGAGAGGGGTAGAGAGAAAGAGAGAGAGAGAGAGAGAGAGAAATCAGCGCTAAACCCACTCCAAACAGGTGGCCAAGGAAAGATAAACGAGAGGATAAACGGTCCATTTTCATCGAATTACCGAGGCTCTTGAGTGCCATACGGTGGTCGCATTATGTAATCAAGAGAGGCATTAAATGATAAGAAAGAATTCTGGAGGATTAGGCATGTCACCAAGGTGATCTACTCAGGCCTGATGTAAAGATGATGTTTGTTCCGTATGTCAATTAAATAATCTGTTCTTTTACATGGTTCATCCTGTGTTTGAGAGTCAGCAGTTTTCGTCAACATTTTGGACTTTTCTTATAAAGTCGTTACACCCAGATTTTGGTCCTTTCCCATCTTAACCCCCCCCCCCCCCTCTCTCTCTTATTTTCTCTCCTCTCATCTCCCTCGAACTCCCTCTCACTCCCCCTTCCTTCCATCCGGTGAATTGGGGTGGGGGGGGGGGGGGGGTGGGGGGATATTGACTTTATATTTGCCGATTGACATCGACAGAGTAGCCAGAAATTTCCCAAACAAGCAACACAATTTATTTAGTAAGTATGCCAATAAGGGGTCGACGTGATATTCAAATTTGCCAAGTATAACCCCAAAGCTGATAAACAACAGAGACTTTGAAAAAAGTAATATAATAAATATCAATACTTTTTTCATATTTGCCGACAAAAGCTCTGAAAATGTGAGTATAAAAGTTTTTAGAAAATATTTTTAAAATTATGAAAATAATACAATAACAAATGAGAAATAAAGCGATTCAAAGTAGAGATAGTTACCTGTCCTTCGGTAAGAAATAGCACATTGGCCAGCTCGACTCGCTCTTGGGTAGAAAGATATTGCTGGTGAACGAAGCGGGCTTCGAGACCCCGGATCTGGTACTCGTTGAACACGGTTCGGGCTTTACGACGTCGGCAGTACCGCATGGAGGAGTAGTGGTGATGGTCGGGTTCGAATGGAGACGGTATGCTGTAACCGGCTAGATCGTGAAGTAGAAAGTGGGGAACGAAATAGGCAATGGTTGAACGTCTGAGTTTTAAAATGGCGACTCTATGTGAGGGTTATTGTGAGATAAAATTCAAATAAAATAATGATAGATTGGGAAAGTTGCCACCCTATAAATGGCCAACAAGCTATCAAAGATAGATTGATATATGGTTGGGTGGGTTGATATTTAGATTATGGATGGATATAGATAAACAGATAGATAGATAGATAGGTATATAAAGATATATATGGATAATGATGTATGGATGGATAGATATATAGATCGACAGACAGAAAGAAAGATTGACAGATACAAACTAGATAGAGCACTTGATGGCAAGATTGTAATGCATTGCATAGCTTATTCACAAGGTCCCAGTAACACTGCATAGGGCATTCCCTAATTAATTGTAATAATCAGAATAATTGAATTTTTGAAAAAAAATATGAGCAGCGTAACTGAGCATTAAACTACGGCTGCCTCATCAAATTTGTAGTTGTTATTCTTTTTTTTTTGTGGTGGTAGATTATAGGGGGCACCATGAATTAATTTGGGAATGTGCCCCTCCCTGGCTACATAGCTCTTTTTCAAGAGGTGGTCTAAAACAAGCGAGTCTAGAAGTAGAGTGTCATAATTGATTTGAAAAAGTACATGGAATAGGAAATATAGCCGTTCTAAAGATAACTGTTCATTAAATCATCGTAAGACGTAAACCGAAAGGTCATTGGCATCAAGCGAATAAAGCTAACATCTTGGCTATAAATAAAAGACTATCGATTCAACAATGGCCGAATCGAAGAGTGGAGGAGATTAGTGAGATATGGGCGGAAGTCATTGTAAGCTAGATGTCATCTTGGAAAAAGGGGGTGTTGACGTTCCTATAAGACAGTTATTCACTTACGCACCCCAATTCCGTTGTTAATCAATAAATTCTTTGTAAAAGACAGCCGATTAAAGGATAAGGGCCCCCGTTTTTTGTTTGGAGACAATACTTTAGCGAGGGCAGGAAAGTGAGACCGTTATGCTTGTCCGATCAGAACGTTTTAACTAGTTAACAATGATAGATTAAGGGCTTATCTGGAGATAATCCAATTTGACGATTAGAGCTGATATTGATCGAATGTCAAGGAACGCGTAGGACAGAAGAGGAAATGGATAGGGGGGGGGAATCGAAATGACAAATGTAGTTGGCATTCCAGAATTCTGGAAAATGAAAGGCAAACCAATGGTATTTCGCTACTTAAAGGTAAAGACCAGTTATGGTCATGCGATTGCATTGTGAAAGAAACGTTGTGGAATCGATCAGAAAAGGTTGATCATCTAGCATCTAGCATCTGCAAGATTCTGGAATCATCAAAATGATAAGAAATTTGGCCCATTCTTCGTAAAGTTACAAGCACTATACACAGAAAGATGTATATGGGACTACCCTATATCTCTCACAGACCATGAGAGAAACAAATTTACCAAATATATGAATTAGTAGGCGGTTTCCCGGCAATTTTTTTATCATCATGTATTAGTCAAAACATATTCTTTCACATGATTGGTAATGAGAGCTTCCATTTCATTTTTTTGAAATTGGGGCTTTTCCAATACTGGTCTTTACCTGTAAGTAAAAATAAAACTAGTACCAACAGCATTATAAGCAACGCAACGGTTGTTAGGCAACTCGGGTAATCGTTTATGGATGGTTAACCTGATTCTAACCATTTTTTCATTCGAAAATAGAAGAGCATAAATTACATTGTATAACATTCCACTGGTAGTTCGGTTCTTAGTAATACATTGATTGTATCCCTCGAGAGATGAGAGTTATTCTTGCACTAGAATCTTTCAAAAGCAACTCATTTTTGCTATTTTGCTTTTAGTTGATCTGATTTTTTATCATCAGTTTATGTATATTCTTGTTTTGCACTAGTGCGCCTTGAGCATTTCAGTTTTAAGTAGTTGGCGCGTTAATTTGTTATAATAAAGGAAGAAACAGAAAAAGAGTTTCATCAACTTAGTATTTGTCTTGTATTTCTCTGGCATTTTCGCTAAAGGATAAATGGATTTGGATCTTGATGTAATATGTCGAAATCACGGGGGGGGGGGGGTAGTCAAATTTCCCTGGCATTTTCGCTACAGGATAATCACGGGGGGGGGGGGGTAAGGGGGGGGGGTAGTCAAAATTTGACTACCCCCTCCCGTGATTTCGACATATTACATCAAGATCCAAATCCATTTATCCTTTAGCGAAAATGCCAGAGAAATACAAGAAGGCGAGAGGATTAAATATTTGTCCCTCTACTTTAGATCAACAAACACACAACGAAAATTGTAAAGCTTAATTCATATTAATTGTTGTCGACTGTCGTTAAACATGACAACGACAGCATTTAAAACAGGTGAATAAACAAAATATACATTTACAAAATGCGAATGCATATATACAAAATAAAACAGACATTCAATATAAATGCATTTACGTAAATATATCAAACAAGTCAATAGAGCATACCTGGTGTTAATAAGAAATACGGTTGCTGGCTCATCTGTTCTTCAGCACAATGGCAGTTGAAGGGGTGCACCTTCCCCGGCATCCCGGGGCAGAGGGATGGAGGAACACCGGCCCGTGGTAATGGAACCGGTACTGGTCCAATATGTGATTGATGATGATGATGGGTTGGGTCGACGAAGTGTTGCTGAAAAGGTTGCGTGTCGTGATGGTGGTAGAAGGCAGAGGCCGTCGCAAGTTGTTGCTGGTATAGTAACTGTTGCTGATGTTGTTGCCATAACAACGTATTATGCCACTTATCAGCGGGCATTGAAACGCCGCCATTCTCCACTGCTGCTCTCTCCTCCCCATCAGACTTATCTGAGAAATTCCTCTTCAATTTCTTCCTATCTTGAGATGGAGGCGATGGCGATCTGCAGGTCTTCTTGGTTATTTCAACGCCTCCAGTAGGCCTAACAGAGGTATGTTCTGCATCCTCACGATGAGAATGTGGGGACAAAATCTTCTCAATGGAGAACGCAGCATCGTACTCGTGTGATGCCTTCCCGTTACCATGGTTACCAGGTATCTTCTCCGAAGCCTGGTTCGTTCTCGGCACTTTACGAATGACAAAGCTCTCCCTTCCATCCCCTATATTTCGCTTTTGGGGTGCAAGTGTCAACCTATGGCTGTTTGTTGATCCTCCCTGCCTTTCATCATGTATATTTTGTACACTCTCTGTTGGGCCTGACATGATTTTAACTGCACAAAGTTGCAAAGTAGGCCTAACAACGTTTAAATTTACGACGTCTGCTAGCCAAGGTGCCAAATTTAAAAGATATGACAACGAACAGCGAGGCGAATCTAAGTCTGAACTTCCTGAAGTAATATATTTTGAGTTAAAAGCGTCTTATTAGCAAAAATCAGACGTGTTCAATTAAAGAAAACTATCTACGTCTTGTGCTGATTACTCACGAAGTCAATTCGCCTCCTGAAACAAAAAATGGCTGGAACAAAGATGAAGTATGGCTGATGTTGTATCTGGCTGAAGCATGAAAGCAGAAGAGTGCACGGGGAAAGTGCCAAGCATGCGTGCATGGTCAGAAAGCGGGGCAGTGGCCTAAGCTCTGTGTATTGGCGATTACGTAACGTTATCCCGAAATTTGGATTTACCAGGCCGTTAGGGTCGTTATCCCGTAAATCTGTGAAAACATTCGACCAGGGGGGCTACTCGCTGTAATTGGACTGATTAACAGGTCTGCGTTGTTACGATGATGATGCTATCTTGCTTTCTCGGCTTTCCCCATCTCCCTTTACAACTTTTTGCAAAATAATGTCTCCCATCTTACATATACTACTGTCCCCCAGGAGATCGCTCTCCTCTTTTTAAAATTGGCTTACAGTATTCTTATCTTTATAACTTCTGCTGATTCCATTTTCTCATGCAATATTATACTGAAACCGGAATTGTTTATCTCTTGTCAAACTTCACATTCTTCAAGTGGATGACTTCCATCATCATCAGCCATGACTTCCGTTGCCTCGGGCATGCGCATGAGTCTTTTGAGATACAGTGGACATGCTACAATCATGAACCACCGGCATCATAATCATCGTCTTCATCAAAAATCTCGCGGCTATCCGAAGAGAGAGAGAGAGAGAGAGAGAGAGAGGGGGGACTGGGAGGAAGAAAGAGAGACAGGGCGGACATAAAAGTTCTTTCGAATCATGCCAAATAACCCCCCCCCCCCTCTCCCCTTGCCCTTACAAAAAAATCAATCAATCAAACAGTCAATCAGTAAAAAGATAAATAAATGAATAAATAAGGAAAATTGCACATCATTACAAAACCAAAACACCGTATTACTACAAGTGGTCAGAATGTTATTGACAAATTGGCAAAACAAAAATCGAACATTTGAGACGTTCCGCTTCGGTCCTTATCTCGTTATAAGGGCTCAACTAATTAGAGCCTCTGACCCAAATCTTTTTCTGGTCCAGGAACTTGCACGAAAAGGACTGGACTGAGGGTTCAACGTACTATCAGACCAGGACGCTATAATAATTAGTTACCCTCGTTAAAAGATGGATGATAATAACTGGTGCTTTTACGGATCGAACAGTGTCATGAATGGTTGAGTCGTTGGAGGTGAAAAGAAAAGTAAGCTCGTTATCTCGAGTGGCAATGGATAACGAACAAGGGCGGTTATGTTTTAACGAGCGGACACAAAATAATAGGTGGTATCGATTTGAGAAGTGCTTTCTGTAACACTAAACATGACAAAACATTTCTGAGCAAAACAAATAGAAACGGAAAAATAAAAACAGATGAAAGGAGAAGGTGACAATGCCGATACTTGGCAGGATTTAGTTTTTATATCTTGAGATCTTTCTACATTCTAATTATAATAATATAATAATAACAACTAAAGCGCTTACCACCGTAGTATGGCTCTAGCCAAAATGAGGGTGAGCGCTTGACAAACAGGGAGAGGGGTGGGGTGAAGGACGACCTAGCTGCCATTTTTGTGCATGTTTTTGTTGCCTATTTTTGCCCCTGCCGCTAGGCCACTGTTGAGAATTCAAAAGTGTTTTTTTTTCTCATGTAAAAACATAATACAAAAATAATTATATCTCAAAAAATATGCAATGAAACGACAAATATAATGGAAAAAGCACGAGAAAAGAGGAACTAACTTGAAGCAGAGCTTGTTGAAGTGTTAGTTCCTCAGATGCTGGTGTAATGAAAAAAAGTTATGGTGTAAGTGTTAGTTCCTCAGATGCTGGTGTAATGAAAAGAGTCATGGTGTAATGATGATGATGATGTCGACACTATAACTGTATAAGCATAGACCTAACCCAAATAAGAGAATGTTTCTTTTGCTATCCTCTCCATTCTTTGAAAAGTGAAAAAGGGGTAAATAGAGAGATATGTAGAGAGAGATAATTAGAGAAGGAGGGAGAGAGACAGGAAGAGAGTGGGAGAGAAGAGAGAAAAAAGAGGAAGAGAGGGAGAGAGAGGGAGGGAGAGAGAGAGAGAGAGAGAGAGAGAGAGAAAAAAAAACAGAGATAGGGAGGGAGAAAGATGGGGGAAGAAACTTCAAATTTGCTGGTACTTGTGATCAGATGCAATGCTTTTTTTTAATTTTCAAGAAGATTCAGTCATCTTTTAAAAGTGACTTCATGATTCATACTGTCGCATGCCGAATTTTCGAAAAGGAGCTTTAAAAAAGAACTTTTTAATTGTCTGAGTGTACTAGGCTCTCTCTCTCTCTCTCTCTCTCTCTCTATCTCTCCCTCTTTTTTCTCTCTATCTCTCTCTCTCTCTCCCCTCTCTCTATCTTTCTCTCTCTCTCTATCTCCCCCTCTCTTTCTCTCTCTCTCTCTCTTTCTCTTTCTCTCTCTATCTCTCTCTAAGAATAATAAAAAGAGCAAAAAGGTTTTATATATATATATTTCTCTCTCTTCATTTACCCCCTGTTCCAGTATTCTTCTCTGATATGTCGTGGACAGCTTTTGTCATACTTTTTGGTAGGGGTGCATGAGGTACATTTATTTAGCTTATCTAGACCTGTATTCTGAGTTTGAGTTTGAGTTTGAGTTTGAAGTTTATTATCCAAAACAAAAAGTACATCAATATAACAATCAAATGTGAATGATTAATTAACATTGAAAGGATAAATGGGACCAGAAAATAGCATTTAATGCTAATCGTGTCTAGTACCACTAACACACAAAAGTATCACAGCAATAAATGAGAATGTAATGAATAAATATGAATAACTCGTGAATTCATACCTAAGCTACAAACTATTCTACATCTAGGGTAAATGTGTTCTGTGCTTATATACAAAGCTTTGGTATTTTACACTAAATAAAAGATGAAGAATTATATAACAAAATATTTACAAAAAGGCAAGAGCCTTGGTTCTAAGTTATAAACAACTATTCTATTAACATTTGTGATATAAGAGTTCTACGAAAGCAAGACACTGATGCTTTCTCCCGTACAGAAAGGGGTAGATCATTCCAATAGCGTGTGCCTCTGAATGACATTGAAAATTTACCCTGCGTTGTCCTTACTTTAGGCACACTTAACTTCTTACTTTCTCTTTGTCTAGTTTCATAGTTGTGCTCTATGAAACAGCAATACTGAATTAGAGACTGTGGCAATTTATCATTCAATAATTGATACATAAAAACACAAACAGATAATTTATGGAGTTGATACACATTCAATAATTTTAGCTCCTGGAATATCGGTTGTGAATGAGTCCTAATTGGACTAAACGTTATAACTCTTAGTGCCATCTTTTGGCTTAATAATAAACACTTCATGTTCATTTCATAATTACTTCCCCAAACCTCAATTCCGTAGGTCATATGCGGTTGGATTAACGTCTTATACAGTAACAACAAAACACGCCTTGGCACAAACTGTCTTAATCTATATAAAACACCAACCCTTTTCCTAATAAACTTATTAACCCTTTGGATATGAGGTTTCCACGTCAAGTGTTGATCTATATAAATTCCTACAAATGATGCAACATCAACCTGGGCTATTTCAGTCTCTGCTATTTTTAGCACCCCTTGAGTCACTACTGATTGCCTACTCCCTCTTATTAACAAATAATTAGTCTTTAATAGATTGACTGTAAGTTTATTCACCTTACACCATATGGTCACCTTATCAAGATGCATATTAACTATATTATCCATATCAATTGAATTCTGTCTCGGTGGAAACGTATGAAACAAGTTAGAATCATCGGCAAAAAGTCTAAAATTAAAATAATTTGTTGAGTTTGGTAAATCGTTTATGTACAACAAAAACAGTGTAGGTCCCAACACAGAACCCTGAGGAACACAACATGTTATTATCTGCTTCAATGAGCTATGTCCATCATAGTTCACAAACTGAAATCTATTAAAAAGATAATCTTTAAACCACTGGAGAGGCAGGCCCCTTATTCCATAATGTTCTAATTTTCCAGCCAATATTGCGTGATCAATTGTATCAAAAGCTTTCTGAAAATCTAGGAATACACCTAGTGTTACACTGCCCTTATCCAGTGATTTAAGCACATCATTAACCAAATTAATTAAAGACAACTTAGTACTATAATGTTTCCGAAAGCCATACTGGTGCTTATACAAGACATCATTTCTTTCAAAATAATCAAGTAGCCTCTTGTTTACTAATTTCTCAAATATTTTGGCCAAAAGAGGCAAAACTGAAATAGGTCTGTAATTGCCTGGGACATTTCTATCTCCCTTTTTAAAAATTGGTGTAACTTTGGCTACTTTCATTGCATCTGGGAACACACCGTTCAATAATGACTGATTATAAATATAAGATAGTGGTTTTGCAATTACTTCAGCAGCATCCTTCAGTAATCGGGCTGGAATATCATCAAAGCCGCAAGCTTTCTTTACATTTAAAGTTAATAGATAGTCCCGTACCTCATAATGAGTAACTGGTTCCCAAACATGGAGTCAACCATCACTAAGATAACCTTTGAATGTAATAACATCGTCAACATTACCATTAATAGATTTAGCAAGGTTAGGCCCAACGTTCACAAAAAAATCATTAAAGCCTTCTGATATTTCTTTCCCTGAGGTTACAACTTTCTTACTACCATTATCATCAACACAGAGCTTATCTACATGTGACGTTTTTACTTTACTGTTTCCACTCTTCAATAGCTTATTTATTGACTTCCATGTTTGCGCTGTGTCACCTTTATACATTTCAAATACATCACTATAATATTTCCTCTTCGCATTCCTCAAAACTGTAGTTAAAACATTTCTATGCATCCTATATTTTTTCAAATTATCTTCACTATAGTTTGATTTTAATACTTTACCATACAATTTATGTTTCTTTTTAATTGACTTCTTAATGGCTCTAGTCAGCCATGGTTTATCATTTTTCCTCCTGGAAGAGTGACGATGAACAATCGGAGCATATTGATCACATATACCTATGAATGATTGTACAAATATATCATATGCTTTATTAACATCAGTACATTCATATACATTTTCCCAGGATTCCAAGAGTAGACTATCCCAAAACTGTTCTTTCTCATAGTTTTTATAACTTCTATATCGTACTTCTCCTTGTGGTTGTAATTTTACTGAGCTATCTTCAAAAATAGCAAATATAGGGAAATGATCAGAAACGTCAGTTACAATTGTACCAGCACATATGCGATCTGCACCCATATTTGTGTAAATATGATCAATTAAGGAACCTGACATGGGTGTTACCCTCGTAAGGGTCTTAATTAATTGATGTATCCCCAAACACACTAAGGAAGTAACTAACATTTCAGCATTTACGCTGGGATTATACAAATCAATATTGAAATCACCCATTAAAATACACACCTTTTTATCAACTTTAATCCTTTCTAACACAGACAATAAACTCCCTTGAAACTGGGAAATATCAGTGTTTGGTTTTCTATAAATGACACCTACAACAACGGAACGATCACCGATCTGAACCTCAAGCCATAGTGATTCAGCAAAGTCAATATCATATTTTAACATTTTATATTTCAAAGAAGAATGGACATAGACTCCAACACCTCCTCCCCGTAAACCAGGGTCCCGGCAATTCACTTCCAAAGTATAACCATCCATCCCAAGGATATCTGCACAAGATACATTCCAGACTTCAGACAATCCAATTAAATGAAATTTTGATTTTATGCATTCTTCATACAATAATCTTAAGGCATCAATATTCTTATTTAAAGATCTAATATTTATATGAGAAATCGTAAAAGCTTTTGGGAACTTTGAACATAATCTGTTATCAAATTCGAATGGGGTTAATTCAAAAGAGTCAATATCAAACAAATTAATGTCTTCGTTAATATCGAACATAATGAAATATTCGGGAATCTCACATAGCCTCAAAATTGAGTGAAACATACTAGGCAAGGAAATGGAGCTTAAAATCGCCGTATTGGACATTGTCAACTCCGTATTCATTTCTTCTTTTGAGTTTTTCATCACCATCCTACTCAACTTGATTTCCAATTGTGCTTTTTCTATGGACAGAAATAGCATGATAATGATGGTTGTTGTTTTAGCATAGCTACCAGTCGCCTCATGACAAATATGATATTTGTATTGTTCACGAAAGAACAATTCTACTTGTGCGTTGTTCTCACGTTGTGCCTTTTATCATTTTGCGACGATTTTTGTGTGTGGTTAAATCCCGTGTTGTTTCATAGTTTTCATTATTATTATTACCGTCTCGTCCTCCTACAGTAGTAGTGAAGGCAAACATAACTTACGGGGAACTACATCTACAGACAGAAAGCTTAGTTTCCATCCGATGTTTTCAAATATCTTGCAATCCTGCACTTCAACCAAGGTGTTGCAAGAAGATGAACATTACTGAAGCAGAAAAAAAAGCAACTGAAATGAAGAAACATTGTACAAGAAAGAAGTTCTACGTGAATAAATACGAATAATAAAAAGATCGAAAAGGCTATGAAGATGAAACTTATGACAGTGACACCGAAAATGGGCGTCTTTAGAAATTGAAAAAGAAACTGTTGAGAATCAAGATGAAACTTTAAAAAAGAAGAAATGAAAGAAAACGACGTTCTCAAAGAAAATGATTCAGTAATAAATGCAAAGCAAAAAGCAAGAAGAAAGGGGGAGATGAAGATGGAGAATGAAGCAGAAGAAGGAGAAGGAGAAGAAGAAGAAGAAGAAGAAGAAGAAGAAGAAGAAGAAGAAGAAGAAGAAGAAGAAGAAGAAGAAGAAGAAGGAGAATAAGAAAAAGTATAAGAAGAAGTAGTAGAAGAAGAAGAAGAAGAAGAAGAAGAAGAAGAAGAAGAAGAAGAAAAGAAGAAGAAGAAGAAGAAGAAGAAGAAGAAAGAGTAGAATAAGAGGAAGAAAGAAGTAAAAAGTAGAAGAGAGATGAGATGAGATGAAAAAAAGAAGAAGAAGGAGAAGAATAAGAAGAAAAAGAGGAAATAGAAGAAGTAGAAGAAGTAGAAGAAGGAGAATGAGAATAAGAAGACGAAAGAAAAGAAGAAGAAAAATGAAAGAACAAGAAAATAAAGAAGGAGAAGAAGAAGAAAGTTGGCCTAAGTGGGACAAAGGTGATCCCGTCTCTATTATCTTTATGAAAGCATGACAATAAGCGTAATGAGAAGAAGGTGGATGGTGGCAGGCGCGGATCCAGGATTTCTTAGGGGGGAGGCCCAAATTTGAAATCAATTTGAAATTTAGTATGCTGAAATTTGAAAATCGCGCCGGCCGATATTTCGCTCAACAGCCCCCCCCCCCCCCCCCCCCCCCCCCCCACTGAAAAAAAGGTAGATTTCTGGTCAATTGTTTTATATTTTTTTTTACTTTTTTGGGAGGGGGGCCGTCTTTTGGGGGGCCAGGGGGGGTCAAGGCCCACTCGGCCCCCCCCCCCCCGGATTCGCGCCTGGGTGGTGGTATCTGTTATCAAAAGTTGAGCAATTATTGTTATAAAGATCTTTTTTTCTTTTACTATAATTGTCTTTGTTGTTTTTCTTCCCACACTGTTATGTGTCCTTCAGCATGTTTTGATATGGTTCATTTTTCTAGCAGCGCAAAAAAAAAAACAGTTTGAAAAGTGTGGGAGTGATCACACTCGAGAATAAACGTCTTTCTCCCACTTAAAATAGGCTATACAAAACGAAATATTTTTGTTTTCCAAACCATCTCCAGCCAAACATCTTCTCATTTTCGAGTCGCCGTTCTGACATGTAGCAGTAGTGACGAAATCGAGGAAATTGACAGGAAACTAAAGATTGTATTGATTAATGCTACAGATTTATTTCAAGATGGAAAGGGTCTTTGTTACATTTATTTTCCTTGCTATGTGCATGTATGGTAAGTTAATTTCAATGTCATATAGAAATTATTGTAATTTAAAATTCGTGAGAGTTTTTAGAATTGATATCCACCCTGCTGTTTCATAGTAAGCTAATTACATCATTGGTATATTTCATGCAGTTGATTTATTATCATTCATAGCATCACTGCGTATATCTTTAATTGAAAATATTCAGTAATAATTATATTTGTAAAGACTATACTGCCTGTTTTCTATGGAAATAATTATGTTCCGTTTTATCAAAGCAATAGATACTAGCCTTTTCCTCGCTACCATTGATATAATATACATGTAATTGAAAAGACGATTCTTGATTTTTTTCTTTCTTTTTCATTTCTTTCTTCCAACCGATTTTATTTCAGCTTGCACAGCTCAAGGTTAGTCCATTTTTTTCCTCCTAACTTTTCATTATCTTTCTGAGGTTCTAATATTACCAACATCATTATTACCATTTTCCTGCTTATTTTACAATGTTCATGTTTTACAAGACGAAAACAACTTTTATTGTTTCAAATTAAAACTAACTCAAACTTCGATAGATCTAAACCTACATAATGTCGACCCCCCCCCCCCCCCCTCATCTTAGCCAACACTGAAGTTGGTCTTCATATAGGGGCACATATCTCCTTCCATAAAGATACCATTATTTTTTCGGGTGGTTGTTAAAATAAAATATATATATTTACCAATATGACGGTCAATAATATGCTTTTAAAAAATGTATGTAATGCTTCTTTCCCAATATTATTATGTATTGTAAAATGTTATACTTCTTTCTTTCATTTCATTTCATTTATTTATTTAAACACGGAGCCTACCTCAACCCGCGGACTGTTCTTCTGTAGGGCCGTGCATATACATAAAAACATACAATATTAAAACAACATATATACAACATAATTCAACATAATAATGGTAACATTAATATATACAAAACAAAAATAACATAAACTAAAAATACATATGAAATATTAAAAGGGGATGGGGATTACTCATTAAGGGCTCTTGATTCCATATACTTATTTAGATTACGCTTGAAATTTATAACAGATAACTCACGTTTAAGTTCTGGTGAGATTGAGTTCCAGCATTTCGCACCGAAATAGCTGAAACTCTTTTTTTTTTAAACATGTTTTTTAATTTAGGTAGTAAAAAATTATTAATTGAATTTCTCATATTATAATTACATTTTTTTAGTTCAAATAAATCTAGCAAGTAATTAGGACAATTATGATTAGCAATTTTATACATCATGTAAAGGGCATGTTTATCTCTTCTTTTTTATAAAAAAATCAAGCTTTAACTGCTGAAACAGGGAAATTGTAGAATATCTGGCATCAACTTTTAATATAATTCGGAGGGCTCTATTCTGGAGGACTTGAAGCTTCTTAACAGATTTTTTTTCATAATATTTCGCCAAACCACATCACAATAATCAAGTTTACTTTGTAATATTGTTTTATAAAACATAAGTGCAATATTCTGAGATATATAGTTCCTTATTCTTTTAAATAGGTACAGCTTTTAATAATATCTTTTCTCAGAAAATTAACATATTCATCCCAATCGAGATTGTGATCTATTATACCTAAGTATTTGCAATGATCTATTTGATTGAGATTTACATCATTAATATAAATATTAATCGTTCGATTTTTAACTTTGGTTATATCTCTCTCCCTCTCTCTCTCTCTCTCTCTCTCTCTCTCTCTTCTTCTTCTTCTTCTTCTTCTATTATGTAAAGCTATAATTAAGCATTCTTTTATATGTTTTGAAATATGTTTTGAATTTATTTTTTCCGGTGTATATGGTAATTTTGTTGTCTATTTAATTTATGTGTAATACCATACGGACGGACATACTGGCTGAAAGTGTGTTTTTACCGCGGCTATATAAAATCAACAACAGTCTTCCCCTCATACTTAGGCAACCGTCATTTCCTATTGGGGCAATGAAATATTTGGATATTTAGATGAGAAAATAAGTGTCACTTCTTGTACAGTATATACTTGATTATTTGTCACTTTGTACCCTATTTTGATTCTTCGTTTGTGTGTACCGGTACCTGTAAATTGATATAAATCTAAAATCGTGGATTCTAATTCAATAAATTTTGATCGACTTTATTTTATTTTTGTCGAAATTTTTTTTGCTCCCTCCGCTTCGGAAAATTAACGAAAAAGTTAATATTTTAGGAAAAAAACGTTAGCCCCGCTGTGATGAAACTTGAACCAAGATTCTACCAAACTCATTTGACCATCCTTTTGTAGAGTGTATTGTTATGAGCCCCTCTCCCATTTCTTGTTCCATCGTTTTGTTTGAACTTTAGCAATGATAAAAGGTTAAACAAAATATTACAGGAACTTCTATCAAACTTTACAACACCAAATTGTCAGGTTGTCCTCCATCTCTCCCACGTCTGGATATTAATTCAAGTCTAAACAAATAGTTGGAGAATAAAAAATGCACAGCTTTACTTACAGCATGGAAAGAGTGTTATTCTTAGGCCCGTCAAAACACGTTGTCATGGTTTCTTTCTTTGCCCATCTTTTTGTCACACGCCTCCAGTAGAACCGCACACCATGAACAATACCGGTTATTTTAGACAAACAATCGTTATGTCAATTCACCAGTCCAGAGTATCGTGGTCATGGTAGCGTGTCTTTCTTCTTTTTTCCGAGAAGGTTCGTAATTTTGAAAGTTCATTTACCCGAAGTTTCATGATTTCGAAAATGAAAACGGTTCATAATTCTAAAAATAAATTTAGGAAACGTTCATGATTCCGAAGGTTGATAATTGCCGAAAATAAATAGAACCCTGTAACGTTTTGAGAATCACGAACCTTCGGAATAGTGAACCCATCATGCTTTGAAATTATGAACCCTGGCCCTATTATATGGGATACTTGTGTTTCGGAATTATGAACCTTCGGAAAAACGAGTAACCCCCATAGTCCAACTGAATTGATGGCAATCTGCAAAGGACAAACAATTGCTACTTCATACCTGGGAAATACTAAACAAAGAATCTTTCCCCCATATACAGTGATCGTCAAAGTGTCTGCGAACTCAGAGGGGGACATTGTCCTCACATGCATGGTAGATGGCGCTTTCGAACAAGCAGTGCAATGGTCCACCAACAGAACTGGTAGTACGGTGAACATTATTGGCGGGGATGACTTCACCAACTCAGAGGTTAGTTGGATCAATGGAGTACCGAAGCTGTGATATCACAAAAATCTATTTTTAGAATTTCTCAATTTGAACTTCATTTTCCGAAAGAGCATCAAAAATAATGTCCAAATGTCGAAAATCAATCTCAGTCAAAAGGTTTTCGACATGTGAACACTTTTTTTGATGCTCTTTCGGAAAATGAAATTCAAATTGAGAAATTCTAAAAATAGCGTTTTGATGACGTCACACTTCACCACTCTATAATAAGCGATCTCCATGGTTGAATCTTCTTTTGAGGGGGGGGGGGGGGGGGTTCTAGCTACATACATGATTTTAACAGAGAGAGGGGGGGTAGAGTTGGAAAGGACTCGGCGGGAGGGAGAGAGAGGGAGAGAGGGAGAGAGTGAGAGAGAGAGCGAGAGAGAGAGAGGGAGAGAGCGAGAGAGAGAGAGAGAGAGAGAGAGAGAGAGAGAAGTGGGGGAGGACGGTATGGACAAGGGGCAGTGAAAATATCCCTCTCCCTCTCTCTTTAAATCTTTTAGTTTTCTATATCCTTCCTTAATTGTGTAATTTTTAGTATGGTATACTTTTTGAAGTAATATTTGATCGTCGTAATGAAAACTCCATACATGAATCATGTAATGCTCGAATCCAGCCGAGTGTGAAAATGCCAAATCATCCAGGCGCGGATCAGGGGGGGGGGGGGCGAGCGGGCCTTGGCCCCCCCCCCCCGCAAAAAAAAAAAAAAAAAAAAAAAAAAAAAGAGAGAAAAAAGGAAAAGAAGCGAAAGGGAAAGAGGAGAGAAAGGGAAAGAAAGAAGAGGAAGAAGAAAAGAAAAGGGGGAAGAAGGAGATCGGGGGCCGAAAGGGCTTTGCCTCCCAGGCTGTTGACCCCCCCCCCCCCCCCCCCCATATAACAAATAAGAGAGAAGGAAGGAAAGGGAAAGGAAAAAAGGAGATACTGGCGTACTGATAGGGGGGGGGGTGCTAAGTGGAAATCAAATTCAAACGTGGTTTATTTCTAATTCCATAACGGTGGATTACAAAATAATGCTAAAATGACATCATTTCCGAGATTTTTCCTCACTTTTTAGTAAATTATACGTTTGTATGTGTTTGTTGGAAAATGACAAATTCCTAAATTTGCAGCCAGGCAAGAAATATGATTCTTGAGATTCCTACATGTTAGGGCCCGAGGTACGGCGGGGATCGGGAGCCCCGAGCTCTCCCCCCCCCCCCCCCCCCCACACTTTTTTTGAAAAATTGTATTAAAGAGAAATAAAATAGAATGAGAGCACGAAAGAAAGAATAGTTAACTGCCAGTGTTAACAAATAATGAGGCATCAAAATATGCTCATCTGACCGTGACCGAATCGTCTTCTTTCTCTCATAATCTTATGAAACGTGAAGCTTCCGCGCATTGCGCGGGAGGGGGGAACCTGAATTCAGACAAGGATTCAGAGGCGAGAACGGTAATACCAATCTTTTATGATTTAATAAAACGTAACAGCTTCCGCACTTCGTGCGAGATGGAGGGGGGGGGGAACTTAATTCCGACAAGGATTATTTTCGAGAGCGGTACAACGAATCGTCTTCTTTCTCTAATGATTTAATGAAAATTAAAAGCTTCCGCGCTTTGCGCGGGAGGGGGGAACCTGAATTCAGACGAGGATTAAGAGTCGAGAACTGTACAACGAATCGTTTTGTTTCTCTAATGATTTAATGAAACGTAAAAGCTTCCGCGCTTTGCGCGGGAGGGGGGAGAATCTAAATTCAGACGAGGATTATTTTCGAAAACGGTACAACGAACCGTCTTTTTTCCCTAATGATTTAAGGAAACTTAAAAGGAGGGGGGAACTGAATCTAGACAAGGATTAAGAGTCGAGAACGGTACAACAAATAGTCTTCTTTCTCTAACGATTTAATAAATCCTAAAATTTTCCGCGCTTCGCGCGAAAGGGAAAAACTAAATTCAGACGAGAATCATTTTCGAGAACTGTACAACGACACGTTTTGTTTCTCTAATGATTTAATGAAACGTAAAAGCTTCCGCGCTTCGCGCGGGAGGGGGGGGGGGAGAATCTAAATTCAGACGAGGATTATTTTCTAAAACGGTACAACGAATCGTCTTTTTTCTCTAATGATTTAAGGAAACTTAAAAGCTTCCGCGCTTTGCGCGGTAGGGGGGGGGGAACCTGAATTCAGACGAGAATTTAGAGTCGAGAACTCTACAACGAATCGTCTTCTTTCTCTAGTAATTTAATAAATCCTAAAAAATGTCGCGCTTCGCGCGAGAGAGGAAAAACTAAATTCAAACGAGATTTATTTTTGAGAACGGTACAACGAACCGTCTTCTTTTTCTAATAATTAAATGAAACGTCAAAGCTTCCGCGTTTCGCGGAGGAGGGAGGGGGAAATTCGCCCCTCCCTGCACCTACCCCCCCCCCCCGCATCATGTCACTGTTGGTCACCATTACGTACCAATATTTGGCTCGCAAAATTTCAAATTTGGGCCCCCCCCCCCCCTAAGAAATCCTGGATCCGCGCCTGAAATCATCAATAATTTTTTTTGTAATGCTGTGTTACAATAAATTTCCATCAGGTTTTGCCGAACAACACCCTTATTCTTCGAGCCTCATATCACGGGTATTATTTCTGCACTCACCCCTTGTCAGGACGTAATTACACGGCAAAGATTGTGAAAGGTGAGCTATGATCAATAAATATATTAAAAAGTAAGTAAATTAGTATATAAATGAATGAATGATTAGATGATATACATACAGTCATTTACATGCATACATAAATAGAAGGAGATGAAGGAATTAAAAAAATTATTACATTTAGATAAATTAATGAATAGATGAATAGAGGCATTTAAATTAGATAAATAAATGAACAAATGAATAAATAATTCAGTTATTAAAGGATATGTATCAATGTGCATCAATCAATGAATCAATCAATCACTGAATCAATTAATCAATCAATAAGACTCTCAGGCACTCACTAAGTCAAAAAAATAAATATTCAAATCAATATGTCAGTCAATGCTATTCCATCTATCAAATTATCGATCAATCAATAAATAAATAAAACTCTCTGACACTCACTAAGTCAATAAATCAATATGTCAGTCAATTTATATATATATATATATATATATATATATATATATATATAAGCAAGTTTAGTGAAACTGCAATTTCTGACAGTGCTCAACTGTAGGAGCAAATGTAGATATAGGAGTTGGAAGGTTACACTTTATTGGTACGAGTTATACAGACTGTTTCGCCTGACTGCACATGAGTGTTTTTAACTTCGCCATGATTGTATTATGTATTTAGTTACTGATGAGCCTTCTGGCGAAACAGTCTGTATAACTCGTACCAATAAAGTGTAACCTTCCAACTCCTATATCTATATATATATATATATATATAATTATATCTATCAATGTTATTATATCAATCATTCAATCAATCAAACAATCTATCCATTTTTTAGCACCACCTCTTCAGATCACTCGAATTCCCCTCGGCAACGGCGATCTCCTTCTGACCTGTCTCGTCAACGAATCGACAACGATCCCGGCGATGTGGTCATTCAAGCCTCGCGGGAATACGACCTCCAGTAATCTCGTTGGTGGAGACGACGACGCCCACGTCCAGGTGCTGACTAACAATACCGTGATCGTGCGGGACTTCGGTGCCGAGGACGTCGGGCAGTATAAGTGTGTGGTGAGACACGATGGGTTGATAAGGAATGTGACAGCCAATGTGAGTCTCGGTGAGCATGATGGTTACCTAATATTAAGTCGAAAGCAATATCAAAATTAGTCGGATTAAATCATTTTTATTTCAGTCGTTTGTAAAGCAAACTAAGAATAAACTATGAAAAAATCAACAGCAACAAAACACCACTGTTATTTCAATGGGACTGGTAGAAGCAGATGTAGGATTCTGTGAAAGAGGGGGGGGGGGGGGGGCACAACAAAATATTTGACAAAAGGAGCGTCCACCTCACCCCATGCTGTGTATTCGACACTGCCGAAGTAGTGTGGAATACCTAGGTTGTTTTTTAATGTTTGTTCGTTTTTGTTTTGTTTGATTGATTTGTGTTTGTTTTTCAGCTGTAAGACGAGACATAATAACCTTCACCACATATCAGGATGACAACTTTCACTTCTTCATCACGTGCAACGTTGATGGCGCCCCCGCCACGCCCAGCCGCGAGGTCACGTGGTCCTACACAGAGGACGATGAGGATGAGATACTCGAGATGATACCAGCGGGTGATGAGGGATCGCATCTCCAGGTCTTGGAGAACAGCACCCTCCTCATCAGGAATTATAGTCCGGAGGATGCCGGGAGGTATTACTGTAACGCTCTGCTGGGGGATGGCACTAGGAAATTGAAGCGAATAGATGTCGGAGGTAGGGGAATAAGCCTAATTGGACTCAGCTCTGAAAACAAAGCCATTTCAGCCTACTATAGTTACATTTCAGAAAAACGATTTTCAAATATATTTAATGCAATCGCAAGGACTTCGAGAAATCAACTCAAGGGCGATTTCAATAATCTTGTAATGTTCGCACAACATGCGATGTACACGGCCATAGAATCGCCTTATATCACTGAATTCTTATATGTGATCGTGTTATTTTTTATTTGCTTTTCAATCACTCTCCAAACCAATATTTTGTGTTGACGGGGCGTAAGCAAAACAATTTCAAAAAAGAAAATAATGTGCAGACAAGTTTACCGATGTGCCACACCACCCCCCCCCCCCTTTTTTTTTCTCTCCCTCTCTCTCTCTCCCTCTCTCTCTCTCTCTCTCTCTCTATCTCGGTCGATGCCTCAAGATATTTATTTTCTTCAGACGCTTGATCTCTGCAATGTCTCTGCTCATTGAATTTGGCGGAGAGAGAAGGGGGTTCCTTTTTTATGTAAACACCCCTGAATTTATCGCTCTGTTTAAAGGAAGATAGATGTCACGTGTAAACCATTGTCCCTCTTTTCTTCCTTACAGGTGCCCCTCTCTCCACTGTTGTCAATGTTTGGCTCATCGCCTTGGTAACAATGTTCACTATCATCCGGAGCGCATCATCCCTTTAAGAAAGAAAGTGTTCGTTAAATCATCATTTACGATGATTTAAAAGGATGAGCTAGCGACTGCGTTTACAATTTTTTTCTCTCACTATTTGTATTTTTTGCTAGCTAGATTACGGGGATACTATGCTGAAGCTCTTTGGCTAGTTCCATGAAGCATGGCACCCTGTATGTTGAAAAAGCTGTCACGTTGAGATTTTAATTTACCCGGACACTATGGCCCGAATTCACAAAGGAGGTTTGTCGACAAACCTAGGTTTATGTACGTCATATGACGCATGAAAACCAAGGTTTGTCGACAAACCTCCTTTGTGAATTCGGGCCTATAGGGTGGTATGCGAATTACGCCCTCAACTGTCATGACCGACTTTGCTCCAGTTTCGTAAATATATGAATTAGCTAGCTAGTTTACTATTCCGAGGATTTAGAGGTAAGCCTATCAAATTTTGTTTTCAAGTTTATTACAGAGCTCAAATAAGTTGAGGTTTAAAAGAAAAATATTGAAAGAGTTAAATACTATAATGGGATGAAAGGAATAAACAATCAGACAGACAAATGAACAGACTTTAAACAAAATTAACAAATAGTCATAATAACCGTCTTTCTAAAGAACTATCGAGAAATCTTTGTAATTGAATCGATAGCTTAATTGTCAATTATTGATTTTCAGGCATATTTCTTGTTTTTTACTAGTAAAAATGTTCTTTTTGATATGCAGTTGAATCACATTTAGCATAATGTTTGATAACTTAGCAAAATAACGTGTGCATGGTTCTGTTCCGATTGCGGCACTATATAGTTTTGATATAATTTGAAATGCAATGTTAAACAGAACTTGTTAGAAGCGGGATGAACATCAAATTCGTAGATAAATGTGCATCAACAAAAAAGTATTGGTCACAAACTTGCTTTTTAATGCTTTATTTTACGCTAATTTTCGTACATATGGAAACGTTGTATCATCCGCTCAATCTGACTTGCGTGCATAGAACAAATAAGCATTTTTCCATGAAAAAGTGAAGTTTTCTAAAATGTGCGTTTCTTTCCAGCATTGGGGCGCCCGGAAGTCACTCGGGTAACATTTCATAAAGTATAATATGAAAAGACTATATGCAAATTTTCTGTACTTTTGCCGGAAAAAATACATTTATCCAGCACAATGTCGTCTCTGTTTGCGTTGGAGAAGAGCAAATAGCGAGTTTCAATCACACTTTGGCCGATCTTGCAAGCTCTCACTCGTTTCACTGTGGTCAAGAGACTT